TTTATGTATTTTTTTTTCTCACATTTGTGGAACAAATAATACTCTAAAAAACCTTTTAGTTGTAATTGTTAATAGGAATTTTTTCAGAGCAGTGAGAAGAGGGACTCCAGGCTGCTGAGCTTTGCTTTAACTTATGCAGCTCTGCCTATATGTTATATATTGGACTTCAGGGTGAATTTCATTTAGTCTTATGAATCTAATTCTGAAAAAAGAACTCACCCATGAAAATCACCACTTTCTGTGGAAATTACCACAGTATAATGTGGAGATGTGGTAGAATGGTGTTTCTAGTTTTGGTGATTCATAAAGGTCTAGACAAAAGGCCTTACAGATGTGCAGGGTAGACTTACTACAGAAGTTTCCTGTTTCCTGTACCTTGACTTCTGTCTCCTAGGACTGTGGAACTGAGGATCACACATCCTGCTACTTCCTTCAAGAGCTTACCAAGTGTAACCATGCCCCCACTAAAGTACTATTGGTGGAGTGAGGCCCCACCACCTCTTATTTAAAGTGTCAATGAGCTAGGAACCTGACTTTGTTCATAGTTGTCCCTAGTGCTTCATGCAGAAGCATAATGCAAATTTCCAAAACTATTTGCTGAGAAAAAGAGCAAAAGAAGGGAAGGGAGATAAAGAGAGAGGGGTGAAGGGAGCAGAGGGGAAGAAATTGCTCTTATGAAGGTATTTTTCCCATTTCACAACCTCCAATCTCACTCATTGAAACTTTCAACATGTATCCAGTGTCTACTGTGTGCCAGGCACTGAGCTGGGTGATGGAGCAGGACAAAGCAGGCCCAGTCCTTGACAGCAGAGGCCTCTCATGGTGCAGGGGAGGAGGCAGTGGGTTACAGAGGCTATGATGAGAGTGGGCAAGGGGAAAAGAAAGAGGGCTGAGAAGTGTGTGACTCACTCTCCCTTGACCTTCTCTTGGTTCCTGGAAGAGCAAAGGTGAGCCTAGATTTTAAATCACAAGTGAAATTTGTAGCTTTATTGGTTCGCATTTTGCTTCCATATGTGGTAGTTTATTCATCCTTCTCTAGACCTGTGCAGTGAATCAAGTATATGTGGTGGTATTGGAAAATCACAGGTTTTTCAGTCTCAGTTCAACCTCTTTAAGGCAAGAGACCTCAATTCTGTGCACAATGAGGATTATAAACTTCAAGGATCAAGGTAAGGATCAGAGGCAGACATAGTTCACATGCGCTTTTGAAACTATGAAGCTCTGTAGAGGAATTAGATTCAGAAGAATGTATATAGTGGGTAGTAGTTATGCTGTGGGAGTGTAGAGAAGGTATTGCTATTATTCACAATTACCAGGCTCAGAGCCGTCGAGGAGGTGCAACTGAGACTTGAGCACAGCTTTTTGACCTCAGGTGTTCTGCAGTCTCAGGACTCGTGGTCAAGCCTCCTCAGAGGACCAGATTAAGATCTTAGTGAACTTTCTTTGCAGCCCTCAGAAAGGTCAAAACTCTGTAAACCAAGAATCATATGCCCTGGGCAGGGGAAGGGGGAAGAGGTTGGAAAACCTTACAGCTGAGAACATATGCCCTCCAGAATGGTGCACCTGGCTTCTATCCATGTCCTCTCCCAGCAGGTATGAGACTGTGTGGGTGGGTGGGTGAGCAGGTAGGCACAAACTGGAGCTACTGTTTCCTGGGAAGCTGGTTCCACAGTGCATTGATGCCCCTACCTGGTGGTCCACACTGGCTTGTGAATAATCCTGCTGCAGCTAATCTCCAAAACTGCAGGTAGCAGCAGGCCTCAGGAAGGAGCTTCCCACCTTGGCTGAGGCCTGATCAGGGAACAGCCCTAGAAAAATGCAGCACACATCTTGAAGGGGACCAAAAACATGAAGGGGACCAAAAACATAAAGGGTGAAGAACACTTCATACTGATTTCATGTAGTTACAAAAATACACAGATACAAACCCAGTCCAGTCTGAGATTCTGAGGTATCAAGATCTCATTAATCTTCCCTGGCAGGTCTGGCCTTCTCCACAACAGAGCTATTGGGGACACCCAGAGCAGAGCTCACTCTGTAGACACAACTACACAGGCCTATGACCTCGTTCTGTCAATGTCTGGTAGGATGGATGAGATGTGTGATTATCATCAGGATGTTTTCAAATGTCTCCATTTCCAGGAGAAGAAAAAGTTTAATCATTTAGGTTTGATTTGATTCTCCCCGGGAGAGTATTTTACGGTGAAAAGGAAACAGATCTCCTCTTATTTCTAAAACTCCCAGCACAGCTGCAAAGAGCACATCAGGTGGGACATGGAAGTCAGGCAGAAACTGCTGAATGGAGCAGCTGCTTTCTGCCTAATGTTGCCATCTTAGTATTGTTTGGCTTCAAACCCAAGCTCTGGATTTGAGAAGTACATAGAAGTTTTTGTGGTGTCTGGCTGGCACTATAACTCTTCTGCAAGGGGCAGAGTGGGGCATAGAGAGGGTAATATTGCATCCCTTTATGAAATGGGAATAGTCACAGGAATGAAATATAACAATGAAGAAAGAGCAGCTAGCTGCAAATCACACCCACTTACCTGCTATGACTTCATTCAATTGAAAAGGATGCACCTTCCACTGTCCAAATGTAAAAATGAACTGACATCGACTTATAGAGTCATAATTCAGGTTTGGATCAAGGATGCAAAACAGCCATATCCTAAAAAGCTTTATGATTTTCTTTGCAAAAAAAATTTTTTTTTGATTCATTAGTAGTTGAAATAACAGATTTTGTGATATTGCCAGGTTATGACAAAACCATGTTGAGTGTCAAATGTACAAGACCCCTATGTTCATTCAGACATTTGTAACAATGTCAGAAACTTTAATTGAGACCCAGTCTTGTAAATGAATCCAGTTGTGGATACATATGGGAATTTGCAAAATCAAATTCATAGCCTTCTGATTTTTCTCAAACTCTAAAGTCAAAACAATATTAGGAATCCGCTCATAACTCATAAACGTTAGGCTTATATTGTGTTTCAAAAAATTTTAGCAAGATATATTGGTTTGCTTTTTTCAAATTGTATCTAAAATTGGCAAATAATTAATAATGTTCTTCAACTATGCATGCAAAAACTTATCTAATCATGAGCAGAAATTATTTTCTAACTTTAGAAACAATGTCCTTAAACTATTTAATAATTGCATTTTTAACACAGAACTATACTTCAATTAAATAAAAACTAAATTAAACCCAGAATAGAGTATATTCTGTGGAAAAGCTGTGATTGTAGTGTAGTGGTTTTAATGTATGTCTTAATAGATATGGTTTATAGATATATAACTTTTAAGTATATTAACATAGTATCAACCTAATTGTCCTTCAAGTTGGCTCATTTGATTTACAAACATGGTTTCTGAAGTTTAACAGTATTTGTAATGGCAAAGTCCAAAGCAATTTTGGCTGAGCAAAGCGCTATTTGTTGAACAAAAATGTAGTTGTTTGTGCATATTAAACATCTCACAAGGCCAGCTGAGTTCATTTCAACCCTACTTACAAAATAATTATTGGCAAATGAAATGGGCTAGGGGTAGAGACAAGATATTTTCAAGCTTCTGAGAGGTTCACAAAACCAAATTCTTGCTTATTGAAAGTGAAATTAAAAGATCACAGACAATTGAAAGGTACATATTGAAATCTCAGGATTAAAAAGGGTTTTGACAAGAGGAATATTTATGATGGAACAATGAGGAAAATGTTATGTTACAGTCAGAAACATGGAAAATATGCTGTTCAAAATCGTTGGCTCTGGAATAAATAAAATCCAGACTTAGACTATTAAAAATATCAAAATGATCCACTATGTGCCAACTCCATTTTCTTCTGTTGTTTGTTATAAAGAAAATCCATTATTGAATATAATACAGTTCTGGCTAAATTATCAAAGACATTTTCCATATGCAAACTGTAGTTTACCATATGCTATATATTCTCTAACAATTTTAATACACTTCTATCACAGAACATAGATGTAGAGTTAAAAGGAAATTTCAAGTTTTATTTCAACCTCTTATTCAGGGCACAAGTCCCTCCCTTCCGAGTCATTCAACTCATGATTATTAGCACCTATTATGAGAAAGAGTTTTTGGATGGAAATTAAAAATCAAACAAACAAACAAATAAAAATTTTCAAGATGTTCCCCACCTGTTAGGTGGAAGAAAGTATCCTTGTCCAGTGATTGTCATTAAGCCTAGACTGACACTCTGCTAGCTCATGACAGGAGCTCACCACATTGAAGGAAGCGCATCCTTTCCGGTAGCCTCATAATTAGGAAGATGCATATTAAACTGAGACTTGCATCAGCTTACCCTGGTTTTGCCTTCGGGAACAACACAGAACATACCTATTCTATTTTCTTCAGCTTAACTCTTCAAAGAATTTGAGAGGACTTTCCTATGTCTTGTAGTTTTCCCCCTTTGAGCAATAATCTTAATTTACCTTATTTCCACTACCATAGAATTCTTTCAATACACTTAGGGATTTCAAAAACTACCTCATATCAACCACATGAGCTTAACAGTTCAGTATTGCACTAAAATAAAACAGCATTTTCAAATTAGGACATTTAGAAACCAAGAGTTATAGCATTCAATTGGATTTGATTTGACATTAGTCTTTTGTAATCAGGCTAGCATTGACCAACAACAGATGTTTAGGGAAAAAAGATGAAACACCTAAGTCTTGCCAACACTGGGTATTTGAGGGAAAGGGGCATAAATCTTCTCTAATGAAATTTGAGTGATCTAAGACAATGACAACTTCATATTTGGAAGTATTTAAATCTGGGAGTTTATAAAGTCTCAGGATTAATGAGATCATGTTTTAGTAATGATAGTCTAAATTTCTTATTAGTAAGTGAGGTTAATATGACCAGCACTCTGCCATCTTTAATGAATACAGGAAGGGACTAATTCAGATGTTTTCATTTGTTCTTCTAGTGGTTATACATATGGCACCTTTATTATCCATAAATAACAGACCCCAGAATAATTTAAATCCAGGAGACTTTATTTAGCCTCCAGAAAGGCCCCTCCAACCCCAAATCCATGCAAGAACACAAAGCCGAGGGGTAAACTAAAAAAAAGAAGAGATTGTTTTATTGTGACACTTATGACATTGACCCCTTGCTGACAGGAATGACCTAGAGTAATTTTGGCATATTGCACATGCTGCGACGAAGGGTGCACTGGTAATCCTCTGGCTGCTGAAGTGGGTTCCTGGTCCTTCCCAACCTCAGTGCACATGTGGGCCAGTCACAGAAATTCCATTACCACTTGGTGTAGACATTTAACAAGTCTTTGGTCTTAATAAGCACCATTACAAACCCTCACATTAAGGGCATTATTATTCTAGTTTATAAATGTTTCAATGATAAAAAATAGCACGATTACAGTATACACACACTTAATTTACATGAAATGTATTATACTCATAACTGAGATAAGCTATTGAACTAACTTTGGTTGATTGAAATTAATGAAGTATTTGAACTGGAGACTTGCAATTTGGTTTCTAGGTTGTGTAAATATTACAGTGCATTTATAAATCTAGTTTGAAAATTTACTAGCACCAAATAGGTATGATAAATGGCCAATCTAATACTTGTATTTGGAGAAGCAGAGTTTCAAAATTTGAAGGAAAAAAAAAAAAACCAATAACAACAGAATAGTCCATCAAATGAAAGCACATTCCTGTCCACCTGCTGGGAGGGACACATTGGCAAGATGGGCCAAAACCCCCCAGTGGATATACAGGTCCCAGTTTTCAAGAATCAACACATGACCAGGTAGCTTAGCTACACATATGAGAAGCCTGAGAAAGTGGTTGTTCAACTAAGGTAACCGCCTGTACCTTGCTTTTGTAATACAAGAATAGTGCTTATTTATAAAAATTTACTTGGTGAAAGACTGTACCTATAATATGAAGATTCTGATGCGGGGAGGAATGTAATTCTACCTATCTATAGTTGTTTTTCTTTTAATTATTTGGTCTCTGGATGGTGAATTAATGAAGCAAAATCTGAATTTTCATCTTCAGATTATCACCCAGTTCACCACTGAGGTAGTCTTTGTCATGTCTGTCTTGTAGCTGGTCAAGTTCTTTCTTTCTGTAAAGAGGAGTACTACTGATTTGTAACGAGTAGGTTCCAGCCACTGGCTTCTTCTTGGTAAAGTGGAGGTAGCTGATCCCTTCCTTTTGGTTGATTTTAAAGAAGCCATCTTCATTTCCAGACTCAATCAAGTATCTATTGTGATTCGTCAGAGTTGTGAGGGCTGGAAGGAGTTCTAGGATTCGGACCTTATTACTGACATGGGAAATATTGAAAGCAAAGGTGGCTGTCTTCTCAACATCCCAACTTGCAAGACTCACGTTGGCTTCTGTTTCAGACAGATCCTGGGGAGATACGAAAATGTTCTAAATTCTGTGTAAATATGCCACTTCGTTCTCATATTAAAGAAAAAGGGAATAAACTCTTAGGCTAATGCAAATTTCTGTCCATGTTGTACATGCTGTGGTGAAAATGCACATTCATCAAGCACTTTGTTTAAACCACAAATGTTTTTAAATTAGCACATATTAATAATACTAAAAACTGTTAAACTGAACTCAGGAAGGAAGTCATTGTCTTTGAAACCACTTGTATGTTTCTGAACCAGCAGTATCAGCATCACCTGGGAATCTGTTAGATGTGCAAATTCTCAGCACCACCCAGACCTACTGAATCAAATTCCCTGGGCGTGTCTCCCGGCATTCCATGTTAATAACCCTTCCAGGTGATTCAGAGACATGCTCAAGTTTGAGAACTGCTGTTCTAATAGATTATTTTCTTTCCAAAGACTAATCTCATTTCCCAAACCACAGCAGGTGGTTGTAGAGCTGATACTAAGAATCAGTCTCTTTTAATTTTGTTCACTGACACAATACCACCCCCTCCTCAGGACACACCTAGGAACCTACTTCCTGACTGTGATGACCTGCTAATAGTCAATGCTTTTCACCTGGCTTCTTCCTTGCCTCTCTGGGACCACATGTGCTGGATTCTCCGGCCAGGAGCCAGAGGGCTGGGTGAATATCTGTGCATTTCCGAGTTGACTGAGAGGCTGCTGCAGCCGCAGGCAAAGAAAGCCAGGCTGCTTGAGCTCTGTGTTGTTCTTGTCTACAGTCCAAGTTCCCTCACACTCCACATGGTTCCTTTCAGTAGAGGAGCCTCTAGCTTTTGGAACTTGGCGTCCCTGTGTAGGGAGCACTATGTCACTTCACCATTCTGCCCACTTGCTGTCCTGGATCTCAGGCCTTGTCCTTTCAGCAGACTTTGGGTGGGTGTTTGACTTTCTTTTTGGCCAGACAGAGGAAATGAGTAAGTATGTGAAAACCTTCGGATGGCCACTCCCGAAAAGAGTAAGAAACTTCAGAAAACCTCACAACCTCTTATAAAATGCAGCCCAGAGCTCAGGGAATGTCTGGATTTTCTCCCTGGGGAGGTTTTTCACACTTTGGAGCATCCTTAGAGGAAACCACAGGAATCTGGGAAGGGTTTCCACAATAGGATACAGCAGGAGAAACCTTCTGACCTACCTTGATATTGGAGGCATCTGTTTCATTAGCACTTCTTCGTTTCCTGCCTCGTTTGGGGTAGCCATTGATCTTACACTCATAGCAAGCCTCTGGGGAAAGTGAATTGTCATCCATTTCACCACTGACAGGTGCATCTGAGCCTCCTCGGTCCATTCCCATTCCAGAAACACAGTGCCTGCATCAAAAAGAGAGCATAAGCGTTTTTCATTAAAACCAGGACACAAGGGATGCCATATGAGAATTCTGGAGAAGCCTGACCTGAGCACGTTGACTATTTGTCCGTTGGATGATCAGCTGGTGCTAGAACCACACCAAGGTCTTCTATGTTGGGTCTCTCATTCCCAGTCTTGTGAGTTTATTGATTTTTTCTATTACATCTCAAGATGCTGTTTTGCATATTTATTTATCCCTTCATTTCCCAAACCAACCAGGGTAGGAATTTTGTAATACTTGTTCAGGGGAGGGGATACAGATTGAAAACCAAAGAAGAATGGGGGATGAAGGGAGACTAGGTGAGTTGCCAGGTTAAATAAATATGCCTTATTTTTGTGAATCAGACTCTATGCATGTGAGAAAGGTCTTTTCCCATCTCCACCTCCAGGAAACATCAAGGACTTGGACGAATGGGCCATGTTTGGGGCATCTTGCCTGGACACTGTATTTGTTCTTCATTCTCTACTTTGACCTTGTTGTGGTTAGAACTTGTCAATTCTCACTGCTACTGCTACTACTACTTCTACTACTACTACTGCTACTACTACCACCACCACCACTACCACTGCCCCCTGCTGGTTTGAGAAGGTTATTGTAAGTTCAGAGTGTTCCTTCCTTAGCTCTCTGTGTCCCTGGGTTCACTGTCCAAGTTCTTGGCCTTTTCTACTGCCAACACCACCTTTCCTCACTCAAGCCCCCAAGCAATCACTTCTAGTCTTTGACCTCTCATTTTTACTTACTCTAGGTAAGAAAGTCATAAGAAATAATTGAGGGTTAATTTAGTAATAAACTGTGAAGATGTGCAATGTGTATTACACATATACTACACTATATTATATATCAACATATAAAATGCTTGAAGAATCAGAGCTTGCCCAAGTGTGGGAAACTGTTTCAAGTCATTCAAAACCACTAGGGCCATTGGCTTTGACTCATGTGAAGCTGGATAAACAAACCCATGCCCAGGAGAGATCCAGTTCAGCTGTTTTTCTTTGCCTTTCAATTATCAAAGCCAAGTTATGGAGTGAGGCTTGCATGTTTCACAAGTACCTTGTTTTGTTATTCTGCTTACTATTTCAGAGGCCACTTGGAATGTGTATTTATCAGGTTCCCCTTTCCAAATGTGTTGAAACATTTGAATGATCCTATAAAAAGTCTTTATTTTGGGGTAGAATCCACTCTAGTGAGTAGAAGCCAAAACTGTTATAAAGGGTAGATTTCTACTAATGCAGCTAAATGTAGACCAAATATCACTTATCTATTTTTCTGAAATAGTTGACCTACTATTTACAACTCATTTTCCCTGTATGACCTTAGGATTCAAATTACAATACCAATGAGCAAAATATTTGTTGTGTTTCATAGCAATTTATAGGTTCCTACTATTTTCCACAATCTTTCTCAGGTCCAATACATTTTCTTCCTTGTTTACCTTGAAATATGAAATAATAAAACAATAAAATGCTAGAAACAATAAAATGGATGAAATGATATATGCTCATTCTCATAATGATTAAGTTATTGGAAGGTAAATCAAAATATTCAGGCTTTGATTCTTTTCTCAGAACTTCTTTTCATATCCCAAGAGCACCACTTATAAGAAGTATGACTAAAATCCCACTGGCCAAAAGCCAATTTGGAGTGTCACAATTTTTGCTGGGAAAAATGTTCTGGCATTAAGTATGAATGGACCGAGAGTCAGACACCACCACCTGGGGAATTTGTGTTCTGTTGCTGGCATCCTGTATACTCTCCCAGGAAACATTCTTTTAATCTTCAAGTTTAACCAGACCCACAACAAATCACTAGATGCTTACATGTCCAGGAATCCAAGACCACTAAACCAATAATTTGGTATGAGTGTGTATATGTGTGTGTGTGAATATGTAACTCTGTGGGTGCATGTGTGTGTGTAAATGAGGAGAGTATGCAGGAGTTCATGTAGATTTAGTGTCTGTGTGTTCCTAACTGAAAAGTGAAGTCAGAACTCTTTACAGGATAGCTAAAACTAGATGGACACCCAAGTCAGATTAATTCAGCAGGGGAAAATATCTAAACTTTGAAAACTTACCTCTAAAGTTTGAAATCATTGAGTTGAATTAAAAAATGCCTTCCCTGTTCCAACTCTCACATATACATGCATATAATTTAGTGAGACTTTCTTTTCTTTTTTTCTTAGATGACATTTATTTATTTATTTAGTTAGTTATGGGGAGTGAACCCAGGGTGCTTTACCACAGAGTTATATCCCAAGCCCTTTTCTTCTTTCCTTTGTTTTACTTTGAGACAGAGTCTTGCTAAGTTTCTCAGACTGTCCTCAAACTTGTGATCCTCCTGCTGCAGGCTCTTGAATTGCTGGGATTATGGCATGTGCCACCATACCTTGCTAAAATTTGGTGAAATTTTCTACCTGGAAAATACCTTAATTACTTCAACTCAATGTTTAATGCTCAGTTATATTATCTGGACTAGTTCTCTGTATGACTTATCCTCGTGGGAGCTGGACAAGAGGGCATCTGAAGCTAGGAGAGGATCCTGCCTGCCCCAGCACAAGGGTCAGCCAACAGTGGGCAGCCTGAGTCCAGTTGTGCCATGGAGAGAAGAATAACTTCCCAACAAGATCTGAAGATCAAGAGAATGGGACTGAGAAGTCACACAGTGAGAAATTTACAATACAGTTTCATTAGTTCGATGTTCTAGAGATCTTCAGAAATCCAGATGCCCCCTTACAAATAAAATAACCTAAGGGAACAAACAGTATGGTTCTCCTCTCGTAAGACAGGCAATGTTGAGTTAAATATACTCATATGGTATGAATACAAGCATTGTCAACCAGGAGGAGTAGTGCTTACCCTTGGCCTATTCGGAAGTAACCAGGTGGACAGCCACACAAGTAGCCACCCTCGGTGTTAGAGCAGCCATAACTGCAGGGAGCCTGTGAGGAGCCACATTCATTGATGTCTTGGCAGCCCCCACTGAACTGTTCGTACTGGAAGCCAGCAGGACACATGCACTTGTAGCTTCCCAGGGTGTTGTGACAGGAGGCTCCTCCGCAGATGTGAGCACTGAGGCATTCGTTTTCATCTGCAGGGAAAACAAGAAGACAGGGATGTGTGACACTGACCAGAGATTTCTAATGAGGGGTCTGGGCCAGGCCACTATGGCTGGCCACTGGCCTCCAGCTAAGCTCTCAGGAGGGGAAGGCAGGCAGGGGTGGCCAGGGTGGAGAGAAGAACAACAGAGCAAGATATGGGCGTGGATTCGGCCTCTTGCCATGTCATGACTAATTGTGGCAGATGAGGTCTAAAGTGCTGGGAGGAGAGGACTGGAGGATGGCATTCTGAGGAGCAGCAGACTCCAGTTCTCATAGGAAACTAATACTAGTAAAGTTCTGCTCCATGCAAACACCCAGTAAGGAATGTGGGGCTGGTTCACAGCTCAGATTCAGGGTCCAGGGATGTCATGGAAGGAAGAATTTGTGTAGTTCTCTGTACTCTTGCTTCACAAGTGCCCAGCAATGGGACAAGTATCTCAAAAGCAGAGACAAAACATTTCCCTGGAGGTTGCTCTTTCAGCCCTCCTTTCACGAGATGTGCAGCCTTGGGGAGGACTATTATTCTGCAGGAAGTGTCCGCCCCATTTGGACTTCCTTTTCAACAATCCGCAAAAGCCCTTAGGTGCTTGTTCTTGAGATGAATAGTGCCTTTTGGTATGTCTGTTCCCATCTCTAAGTGGCACACCCCACTGCATCCAAACCAGCCTCCTTCCCCAAGTGTCTGAACCATGTTGAAAGTTAATTGAGGCTGGAAGAGATTTGGTGCAGACTTCTGGAACAATAACTGTGGGAAACCCACAAGACAGACAGATGCTGCAGGACTGGATACCCACAGCGACCTGCCAAATCTGGTGGTAAGAAGAAGGGAAAAGAATCTAACTTTAAAAAATTCAATTCAAAGGAAGAAAACTGAATTTCTCATTACTTCCAATTTATACTTTTTTGAAATCTCCAATACAGTTTTGTAGACCTGCCTTTGTAGGGCAGGTTGGAAACTTGCTGGTAAGACATTTCTTAATTGCTCCAGCCCATTTCCAAGCACATGTTCATGTGACTACAGGTAGATTGGATTGCTCTTCACTTAGTGAATATTTGCTTAGCAAGAGGAGAAGGAAAAGAACCTTATTAAGATACCCACTGACCAACAGATAAGATAGTAGGTGTTTCACACTCCTTTAGGCAACCTTCCTACAGTCCTGAGAGGTGGGGGTCCTATTCCCTGTTCTATAAACAGAGAAGATAAGGTTTAGAGAGCTTCTCCTGATCTCACAGCTGGTTGCAGCAAGGCTGAGCTTCACAGGCAGCTGTTTCTGACTGTGAAAGGTGATTTTCTTTACACCACTGCTACTCTCAAGAAACTCGCTCACATTTAAATTGGTGCTGCCTTTCTCCCATAATTAGCTTTACCTTCTTTGCTAAGACATATTCATCTGTAATGGAAAAAAAATACACCCAATAAATCTATTTTTTATTCTTTTTTTTTTTTAAAGTTAGAACATAGGTGAGTAAAAGTGGTGGGGGCAGGGTGCTTGATTGTACCTTCTCCTCCTTCCCTCTGCCCCTCCAACTACGGGTGTGTGAGCTTGACTATATCTGTTTGAAGATCCTCTGTATCCAAGGATTCTAAAGTCCCCTACCTGAGGCTACAGCTATCTAAAATATAAATAGTGGAATGGGCCACTATCTGTGTTCCTTTTCCCCTAATTTTAAATTAGGGATGAGATGTGTGATAGAGGCTCATGAAGACCAAGGGCACTAAGCCCTCTGTCAGACTCCAGGGCTGAGGGTGTTTTCTTGGGTAGGGAGAAGCCCTGGCCTGGCCCTCTTTTCTCTGCCCCTCCAGGGCACACTCTCAGGAAGCTGATCTGTGTGGAGTGTCTACAGCTCTGTTCCCTTCTCCTCCACTCTGGATTGGGCTCAGCCATGTGTTTCTTCTGGGACCCTGACTAATAAAGCCTATAAGGCATGGGTGGACAAAGGGGAAGATATCTCAATACATCGCTTAGTTTATTCTGCTTTTTGACAAAAGGCAAAAGGACCATTGGTTAGAAGTTAGGGGGAGGGAAAGTTTGTCCCTTATAAAAAAGACATTTCTAAGTATTAAAGCTGTCTGTATCTAGATTGGGCAATCTGGGGGAGAAAATAAGTGCCTTTCAAAGTGGTCTTCAGGTCAAACTGGAATGATGAGGAGGCTGGAGAGGGGTTTATATGTTAGGAAAGAGGTTAGACTAGATAATCTCCGAGGTTCTTCTTAATTCTTCTTAATTTGTCTGTGTTATTACAAACACTCATCCCAACTAGGAACTCTCCTCCTTCCCTTTCATAATTTTTCTATCATATTTTACTTTTTTTTCCCTCCTGAGAATTTAATAAAAGTGTAAATTAAATTTGCTGATCTGGATCAGAGAGGTGTGACGGAGTGGAACACAGATTAAGGTAAGAAATCGGCAGATGTTCAGTGTTTACAGCTAGAAAACCTGTGCACCAAACCTTCTCATCAATATCCACACTCCTCAATTTGGTGAATGTGTTCTGCATTTTTTCCAACCCTTTTCATCCCATGTATCCAGGGGCAAATGGCTCTGCAAGGAATTTTTCTACACTCTGAAATATTTGTCATATTCTTTCATTTGGTATTTCAATTGATAAGGGGTCTGTTCTTTTTATAAAAAAGAGAAAATTCTACTTTTATTGAAACAGCATTAGGGTCTCTGAAAACTATTTCACAAAAGTGAATCAACAGCACCACAGTTTGACCTCTACAATTGGAGGCTCCAGTATCAGCTCAGAGTGTAAGTTAGCTGTGGTATTAGGGAGTACCAGCAGGAAAAATTCAAATGTCTGATTAGGTTCTTTTTAGTAAATTTGCTTAGGGAAAAATGGGCAGACTCCAACTGCAAGCTTAAAATTTGGTATTTGCAATGAAATCAGTGGCACTTTTCTCCAAACCCAGGCATTGGGGAGAGTTAACCTGAGGACAGATAGGAGTGAGATCCAGGTGGGGCTGGTGCAACAGATCTGTTCTGTTCTGCATGGCTCTTAGGAAGCCATTCTAAGCCCAGGGCAGTACTCATTCTGGAGAACTCTAATTCTTGAGATTTATGAGGTCAGTTTGCTTTTGGAGGGACATCAGGATCCCCAGACTTCTTCCTAATCAACTTATTCTTTCAGATCATCCAGCCAGGAAATGATCTTCATAGGACCAAAACAGATTCTCCAGGCAACTAGGGCAAAGCCTGTCGGTCTCTAATATCCCTGGACTAAAGTTGTCCTCTTTAACAATTTTCCTTATAGCTCCAAATTCATTCAAGCAACCTGCATAACCATAACAAAAAGGCTCATATACTGGGTATAGAATCAATGAAGTTCACTCTGAAGTTTTGTGAGCAATGTCAGAAACTGCTGATCCAAATCAAAGACCCCCCGCCTCCACCATCCTTAAGTTGATAATGAACAAAGATGTTTTTATTAAACCCAGATAGCACAGACAGTTGTGTAATCTAAACTCTTCTAGCACTGGGGCCACTTAGCCAGCCCATATACCTCTCTGAAAAACTGTCTCCTACAGAATCAAACTAGATGAGAGACAATTTGGTAAGTGAAAACACACTAAATGTGTCTTCATTCGGGGTAAAGTAGAACATTTGCCCAGGAAGCAATAATTTCTCAAGTTTTTGCTAAGGAGGGCTTTATACCTAAGAATGCATCAACTAGAACAGGTCACCCAAGCACCAAGCTTGTGGTGGTGCTCCTAGATACTTGCTGAATGAAAAAATAAGTGACCATGGCACTTGAAAGTTAAAGGCCTTGGGTTCCAGTTCCAGACAGGTCATAAAAGAACAAAAGACATCTTATTCCTTCCCTGAGCTTCTGGATCCTCATTAAAAGGCTTGTGCTAGATCATCTCTGGTGTCCTTCTGATATGTATTAAGAGTTATTTTCCCGTGACATTGTGGAATCAAAGATTGTATCATTTCAACTTAATGAAGGAGTCTGTTGATCTCTCTTAATTATCAAAAGAATTTAGCCATCCTGAAAAAATTCTGTCTCTGCAGTTTGCTTTCTGCCTCAAGGATGTGTAGGGCTGAACAGAACTACTTCCGTTTCTTCAGGCCAACGAGTCACCCAAAACAGCCTCTGGCTGATATTTCAGTCAGAAGTAGAACTTGTTGGCCTCTGATATAAAGAGAGTGCAAGTGTTCTAGAAGGCCCCAGAAAGGCAGGGGGGTGTTGATAGTCAAGGAATTCTAAGGACATTTCATTACAGATGCTTTCAAAGCTACTTCATCATAATATTTTTTCTTAGTTTGCTATTTTGAAAAGACTATTACTCCCCTTTGGTTTTAATCAGGTTAGGGTAATTTGAAATGAGTACTTGTTGCTTCAATAACCAAACAAAGGTTTTCAGAAAGAGCCAAGTTTGCCCCATAGGAGTTGAGAGCGATACACTGAAACAAGCAGAGGCTACTTGCCGACACACTGGTTCCACTGGTAGTGCTGAAGGTAGCCCTGGGGACAGCTGCACCTATAGCCTCCAATGATGTTCTGGCAGCCGTGCTGGCAGCGATGGTTGCCTTCACACTCATCCACATCTGAAAAAGAAGTAGAGTTGACTTTAAGCCACATCAACACTGATCTCGGAGTCACTCTCTGAAGCAACAGGTATATGCATGTGGAGGTAAATGGCAATTCTAATGAGAATCTGTTTCCTAAAAAATTATTCTACCACCCAAAACTTCAAGAATATCTACTATGGAGCTTTTACTAAGTCTAAGAAGAAAAACATTTGGGGATTCCCAGTAAAGTCTACAAATAAAGATCATGTTGAAATTTGTGCAAAGCTCAAAGCATTCTGTGGGACAGCTCTATACATTATTTGTGTTCCTTTACCTGCACTAGAATTAGAAGTCAAAAGGTGTCAATGCAAAAATAAAATCCTAAAAATGTCATTTAAACTTTTAATTACCTATTAATAGAAGAGTTACTCCTTATATGTTTAGTGCACATTGGAGAAATTCCTTTATGGCTCAGGACACAATAACCAGGAATCTAGCTGTTTTTCTTGACTGAGTTATTCCCATTAGATGACATTATTAACTAAGCAGAAAAGTTTTGTTATACCTAGGAAGAGTATGTTATAGCTGGGCGCCATGATGAACGCTGGTAATCCCAGTGGCTCAGGAGGCTAAGGCCAGAGGATCACAAGTTCAAAGCCAGTCTCAGCAAATTAGTGAGGCCCTAACTAAGCAACTGAGACCCTATCTCAAAATAAAATACAAAAAAATGGCTGGGGTTGTGCCTCAGTGGTTGAGCACCCCTGGGTTCAATCCCTAGTACAAAAACAAACAAAAAAAGCATGTTATAAATACAACCAAGCATGAATCTCTAAGGTATGGGACCTATGCAAACCAGGCAAAATGTTTGGGTGCTGCCCCTGAGCTCAGCCCTGACATCTCATAGAAAATGATGATTGAAGGTGCTGATAGCCACGTAGGCCATTCTCCACAAGGGTCCACCAGGTGGACGCAACTGAGGACTCCACCCACCTTCACAGCTGGCACCACTCTGGTCAAGGGAGAATCCCCGCTGGCATTCACAGGTGAAGCTTCCAGGAGTGTTCTGGCAAATGCCCTTAGAGCCACACAGGTTGATGTCAGAGGTGCATTCATTGTTATCTATGAGAAGCAGAGGGGGAAAACAGGATTA